GTCAGGGAATGGGTGAGCTAAAAGGATCTGCTCCCCAGTATTCACAGAAGACGTAGCTAGCTAGCAAATCAAATACCAGTAGGAGAAGTCTCTTTTGTTTAGATTATAAGAACAGGAATGGCAAAATTTAGATGACCAAGCTATGCATGACCTGAACAATAACAGTCCTATTCCTGAAAATAGTTCTCAAGTTTGCACATTCACTTTAAGGCAGATGCAAACATACTATGTCAGAAAGGTGAATTTACCCTTCCCCTGAAATGCCAGCCTGGAATAAAAATTGGATATGGGAGTGTTGCAATGGGCACTATTTAATTACATGTCTTATAGACTCTTTGCATACATAATCATTAGCTATGACATTGAGTTGTGCATGTGTGTGTATGCACACACCCTTTGTTATAAAGAGTAAAGGTCAATCCCCATGAAACTCCTCTCAGAAGGTGAAACTGAAAAGGGTGTGCTGTAGTTTAACTGCCTGCCCAACCTGAAACACTTCTATACAGGCAATGATTCACATTGGAACCTCACTGTGAAAAGAGACCAATTGTGCACAACTTTTTGCTCCTGTTCATTTCCTATTCATTTCCTTAATGTCACCAAGAGAGGCTCTGCACTCCTTTTGTGTTTGGCTAAATTTGACAGGATACGAAGCAGGGTCTCTGCAGTGGTGGTGCCCTCTCTACAGAACATTCTTTCCCATGAAGACTACCCAGCTAAAGCTGTTTCAAAACCAGAAACACTGTTAAGTTTGGTTGATGATTTTAACCTTGTTTTACCCTTGTGCTTTGGTTTTAAGCTTGCATCATTGCCAATATTTTTGTTTTAGGTTATGTTATGGAGGGAGTGATCATGGTATTGAAATTTTAAATACACTGGTTCAAACAAGTTTATTGTAAAAGCAGTCTAGACATTATAAATAATTTTCAATATGACTTGAAGTCAGGAGCTGAGTCAAAACCAGCCTTCGAGCCGGATTCAGAACCAGAGAACAAGCCAATAAAGGCTATCATTTCCCAAGCAACATCCCAGACTAAAAAATAAGCTTTCATAGCATTTCCTAAAGAGGTAAGCCAATGGTAAGCCTGAAAGGACGGAGTCATTTCTGTACCCGAGAAAAGAAGTATTGTGTCCTGATCAAGGGAAGCAAAAGTCCCACTCTGTTCTACCTTGGACAGACCACACCTGGAATACTGTGTCCAGTTCTGGGCACCACAATTTAAGAAGGTTGTTGACAAGCTGGAAGGCGTGCAGAGGTGGGTCTGGAAGCCAAGCCTTATGAGGAACGGTTGAGGGACGTGGGTATGTTTAGCCTGGAAAAGAAGAGACTGAGAGGAGATACGATAGCCATCTTCAAATATCTCAAGGGATGTCACATGGAGGATGAAGCAAGCTTGTTGTTATCTCCTGTTCCATAGGATAGGAACCAAACCAATGGCTTCAAGTTACAAGAAATGAGATTCTGACTGAACATCAGGAATAACCTTCTGGTGGTAAAAGCTATTCAACAGTAGAACAGACTCCCAGAGGAAGAGGTGGACTCTCCTTCATTGGAGGTTTTTAAGTGGAGGTTGGATGGCCATCTGCCATGGATGCTTTAGTTCACATTCCTGTATTGCAGGAGGTTGGAAGAGAAGACCCTCAGAGTCCCTTCCAACTCTACAATTCTGTGATTTTGTTATTCCACCCCTTAAGTGCATAGGGTCAACCATATGCCCTTCATATAACTCCCATTAGCCTGAATCAAAAGAGTCTATAGTCAATGGTCAGGGATGATGGTCTTTGAGGCCCAAAATATTCAAAGTGCTGTTGGAGAAAGAATGGTCTAGGGCAGGGGTTTTCAACCTGGTCCCTACCACCCAATAGTGGGCGTTTCAGGGTGCTAGGTGGGCGGTAGGGGGTTCTACAGCACAAGCTGAATCCTCCTTCCATCGAGCACTGGTGGGTGGTAAGGAAACTTCACCATCAAGAAAGATGCATTAGTGGGAGGTAGGTATAAATAACTACCTCCTGGTAGTTGACTACCGCTGGTCGAGGGTGACTTGCCAATCTGCGGCCCCCAGTGGTCCACCACTTAGGGCAGCTTTGCACATTGTTGCGAGTTCCTGGATCCAGCCCCCAAAGCTCCTAACACTTGGGTATGAAAATGTTCCTATTGAACTGTACCCATACCTAATCTTGTCCACAAAACACAAACCAAACTGTGCTGATCTTTGTTCCCATCAGATTTATTTTTCTAAAACTCCTTTCATCCAGAGATTCTTGTTTTGGTGAGTCCCAGAAGGCAGAAGCATGTTTGTTTTGTTCCTATTATCACTTTGAGACATGTTTCGGAACAGTTACCACCTTTGGGGTCCAAATGAAAGATTTCCTCCCCTAGCAGAAGTCAACTGTTTCCCTGATGAATTGCTTCTTTTTCTTGGTTTCACTCTACTGGCCTCACTTCAGCATTTGATACTTCCATAGGGCTGTCATTATCATATGGGTACCTCCAAGCCCTGAAAGTAATCATCTTCACCCCTATACTTTTGTCATACAGGAGAAAAGCTATTATTCCCCCTTTCACACCAAGGAATGACGCCACAAGAGCAGCAGCAACAAAACATTTGGTGGCAAGAAGTCAATGTGATTTGTATAATGATTCACATACCATCCCCAAGCCTAGGAGAACCAGTTTCCTTTTTGAGGGGAGGGCACTGTAGGATTAAGGCATCTTTATAAGTTTGTTTCTCGTTTGAGCAGATGCTACAGCAGCACTGCATCAAGCACTAAATCACCCAAGTAGGAAGTGCTAGAATCACATCAACTCCAGTCCCAAAGCAACAGTATCGTTCCTGAAACCCCCAAACTGCTTTTCTCCAGAAATCACTTACTGAATCAAATCCATGTAGGTTACAAAAACAGCAGCTGCATTGAAAGTGTCTCTTAAGTTCTGCCACATGAATGCGCCATACGTTGCAGTGCCTGTTACCAATGAAAGTCCATGCCACAATAAACCAGTGACTAAAGTGTGGACCTCCTGAATACAAGCCATTTGCTCTGAGGTACTGGAGCTCCACACTTTCCAGTGGAATTTTTTGCAGGGTGGAGGTGGAAGGGCTTACAATTTTGTTGCGGGAAGCAGGTATTGAAGGCGTGTGATGTTTTTCACAGAAACATAGAACTGTAAAGGCAAAGTAAAGGTAAAGGACCCCTGGATGGTTAAGTCCAGTCAAACTTTACTATGGGGTATGACACTCCTCTTGCTTCAGGTCGAGGGAACCGGCATTTGTCCACAGACAGCTTTCCAGGTAATGTGGCCAGCATGACTAAGCCACTTCCAACACAATGGGACACTGTGATGAGTGCCAGAGCGCACGAAACAGCGGTTTACCTTCCCGCCACAGGGGTACCTATTTATCTACTCATACTGGTATGCTTTGGAATTGCTAGGTTGGCAGGAGCTGGGACAAAGCAACAGGAGCTCACCCTCGTTGCATGGATTTGAATTGCCGACCTTCCGACCGGCAAGCCGAAGAGGTTCAGGGGTTTAGACCAGGGGTCAGCAAACGTTTTCAGCAGGGGGGCAGTCCACTGTCCCTCAGACCTTGTGGGGGCCGGACTATATTTTGGGGGAAATGAACGAATTCCTATGCCCCACAAATAACCCAGAGATGCGTTTTAAATAAAAGGACACATTCTACTCATGTAAGAACACACTGATTCCTGGACCGTCCACGGGCTGGATTTAGAAGGCGATTGGGCCGGATTAGTTTGCCTACCCACGGTTTAGACCACAGCGCCACCCCTCCCTTCACAGAACTGTATAGTTGGAAAGGACCATGAAGCCCATTTAGTCGAACCCACTGTGATGCAGGAATGTAGAGCTCAAACCCATGACCCTGAGATTAAGAGTCACATGCCCTACTCATTCACAAATATGTGAGTTGAACATGGTACATCAGTTCTCTCAAAAGCAATCAGGATACAAGTTATTTCGTATATGTATGAGTCAACCTATAAGGGGTGCATAACCTGTAGCTGTCCAGATGTTGTTGAACTCCCAATTTCCACCAGCCCCAGCCAGTATGGCCAATAGGATGCTCAGTAAGCAACATGTGCCAACCATCAAAGACATTCAAAAACATCTTTCGCTACAGACTACATAAAAGCCTATGAGTGGTTGTTTATTTGTCATGCAACTCATGTATCTGGTTTAGTGGGGCTTCCCGCAAGGGTACAAGTGTTTGAAGCATGTGATACAACAGACAACGTATTTAAAGCCATTGCCATTGCATGGTTTTCCTCTTTTGAGAAGTTCTAGCAATGCACTTATTGTGGTTGGACATCTGATAATTGCAGTAATGTTGCATATCATTATGTGTACTCGCATGAGAAAAAAGAAAAGAGAACTCAGATGCGCCCAAAGCTAATTGTTTTATGCTGTGCATTTGCAAAAAGCCACATAAGTTGTGATTGGGGAAAGCCACATTGGTGAAAACCACATGAAGCCATAAAATATTTGTTATTTATTTCATAACACGTTCCAACGAATATTTTTTAAATGTGCAGCTGATCTTATGGTCTTTCAGCTTGGTGGTCTCATGGGTGAGTGGATTAATGTGAGTCTGTCAGTGAGACTATAGATTTTCTCTGGGGAAAGGGTAAGTTGTAAAAGAAAATCATATTTCTCACATATTTTTGGAAAAGACTCCTCCAGAGATGGAAGAGAAGGAAGTAAGAAAAGAAAAGCAGATGTAATTAACTAGATTATCATCCCCGTTTTGTTTACTGATTGAACAAATAATGGGTGGCTATCATAATACCATTTCCTAAAGTGATAAGAAAATAGATCAGAAGACTTCACAGATTTATTTATTTTTTTAGGGTAGAACCCAAGTTCTATCAATGAGAGCCAGGTGCAAAGATATAGTCCTAGAATTAAATAACAGGGTGCCTCTGAACACACTCTAAGCCTAGGGATTTTTAAGAAATTAGTTTTTATTATAGTTTTTTGTTTTCAGTACCAGAATCTAACTGAGCTCACTGTCCTTTCACAAAAAAACTCCACTCCTGATCAGCTTCCTTCATTTCAGCAGCCAAATCTAGACAGGGAAAATCCTGTTGTTGCCATTGTTAAACAGCTGAGAGTCAAAGCCCAATGTCAATCTACCGCGTATCACCTAAAAATTTACCAGTAAATCCCAGTCTACCATCTGCCCACCTCTGGATTAGGCGGAATTGCGATCTATTTCTGCAAGGCTATTCTTAATGCTCACTTGTGTTTTATTTCTACCATGTCCACCAAAGATTTTGGGTCAGTTTCACCTGGTTAGATCAAACGAATGCATCCATTGTTCAAAGAAGTGGTGGTGCCATCAGAGTAGGACTTTGGAGAAAAAGTTCAGGGCCACACTCAGCAGAATGAACAGGAACCACCCACCCCACCAAGCACCAGAGGGCTGGCTTACCACATTTCAAAGAAGGGTAGCCTCATAAGACCATCACGTGCAGAATCTAAAACCAACGTCCTTCATGGCACCCAACGGTACAATGCTAAATTTCAAAATACATTAAAGCAGCATCCCGGTTTAGCACACATACTTAAGTCAGCCATCACACTTTTCTGACATTCAGGATCTGATATCTCAGGGACCTAACATATACAGGAAAAGATGGAGCTGCCTTCACCCCCATCCGCAGTGATCCATATTATTCTCCTGACACGCTGTCACTATTGTCTCTTCCCGTCAGCTGCAAAATGGACTTGGATCTAAGTCTTCTGCCCCTTCCTTCTGCTTCCCTGACAGCTATCAACATGGTTCTTTACTGATGGCTGAACAAGCATGCAGGCATTTGCCTCCCGCTTTCCAGAAGAGCCATGGTGCTCAGTGGGCTGCTGAACACCATCTGTTCTAAATGCAGTCCGTTGTTCATACTTCCGTCAGCAGACTATGATTCAATTAACTCCCCCACCATGTAGAATTGTGAAGCCTCTCAACCACAATGCAGTACACAAACTGCAATGTCACAAGAACATCTCAAATGGCAGATCTTCCTTGACCTTCATGAAACATTATTCCTCAAGGAACGGATGGGGTGTGTGGACTGCCTGTGTATAAGATTTTGATTCTCTGTAGGCTTTAACTCCCTGTGGGTTTAATCTTCCGTTTTACTCTTTTGGGAGTGCATGTTAATTATTAATTATATGTTTAAATTATGTACATGTGCCTGTCTGAATATTGTCATTATATACCTAAGTCACCAAATGGCGCTGGACTTAGCTATAGGTGGGTGTGGTTGCTGTTCTGTCCTTGTTTGAGAGAAGTTCTTGCCTTGCTCCATGATTGGTGTGTGTGCTCTAAGCCTTCCATGACAGTACCCAATGGGACTTTTGGGAAATAGACCTATCTTTAGAGTTTGCGATCTTTCATAGCTGTTTCAAATAGAAGAAGAAGAGTTTGGATTTGATATCCTGCTTTATCACTACCCGAAGGAGTTTCAAAGCGGCTAACATTCTCCTTTCCCTTCCTCCCCCACAACAAACACTCTGTGAGGTGAGTGAGGCTGAGTGACTGGCCCAAGGTCACTCAGCAGCTGCAAGTGGAGGAGCGGAGACGCGAACCCAGTTCCCCAGATTACGAATCTACCGCTCTTAACCACTACACCACACTGGCTCTCTGATATAATTGCCCCAATGGCAAACTATGAATAAAATTTAATACATGAACAATAACAATGGTGCAGTGTTTCTGGTTGCATTCATTTTTTTTATATATGTATGTTTCAATACCACACACTGAAATAACAGTTCTGAAAAGCACGTCCAAAGCAAGTGCATTGCTTCGCCTCTTGCTCCTCCCTTCATTCACCCACTGTTGGCACAAAGAGGGTGGAAAATCTCCACTACTTCGCAATGAAATAAATGCAACAAGGATACGCAACTGGCAGCTGGGGAGGCCTTCAAGTCAGTCACCAGGTGCTTCCTATATAGTCCCTAGCAAAGCCATAGGTGCCAAGGGCCACCCTTAATTATGTGCCTCGGCTGCTTTCCGCAGGACAAACCTAGACAAAGCTCATTCTCCTTCCCAGTCAGAACAATAACAAAATCCTTAGTAGAGCCTTCCCTTTATTATGTACTCTTGTCCGTCCTTTTCCTACTAAAGAAAGGCCTGTGTCAAATCCTATGTTGCAGCCCATGTTGAAGTGAAGGGAATTAGGAACTAACAATACATGGAACATGAGTACATATCACAGCATCCTAACACGAGGAGAAGAGTGGGGAAGATGGCGGGCGGAAAAAGAGAATTAACTTTGGGAGAATTACATTAAAACTGGTTGGTGGTTTAGCCATATGTAGAGACCTTACGTTGTTCCCTGTTATGTGCAAGAGAGAGGGGTTTTTTTAAGGCACTTGTGTTTCTTGCCCTCACATGGTTTATTTTGTATGCCACAAACGGCTAGCTGCTTTTGCATTTGACAAAGTTCACATGAGTGATCAGTACACAAGAGCATAGGCATAGCTGGGGGGGGGCAGCTGCCCACTCCCAAATCAAGCAAATAAATAAAAATACTAAACTAACTGACCACTTGTGTCACAGATAACTTGGTTCTGCTCCCCCCAAAAACCATGAAGCCTGCCTCCCCTAAAATAAATCCTGGCTTTGCCCATGCACAAGAGATGTTTAATGCGAAAAGACAGAACATACAGAATCCCACAGCAGCGAAAGCTGACGAGCTGAGAAGCGTATTGTCAAATTCCCATTCACAGCAGTCACTCCTGTGGTTCCCTCCTGATATATTACTCCACATGTCCAAGTAAAACTCTGAAGCTGTTCAAAAAGCAGCAGTTCATACAATACGGATCTTTATCCGCTAACAATCTGCCCCGAATGAACTACTGACTCAGAATGTTTTTTCCCCCCTTAAAAAAAATAAAATAAATCACATGCCTGGAAAAGAAAAAAAGAAAAACTGCAACAGGAAGACCAAGTTTAAATATAGTTATCACTCATTCCCAGCCAGGAAGGGGATGCCCCCACAATGCCATAGTCCTGAATGGCGCATTAATGATAGAAATGATGCTGCGTAAGACAACACTATTTGCTTTGTCTCTAGGGATTAAAGAGCTGCGATACAAATGTCACAAGCAAACACAGGAATTACAACAACCATACATATTGCTAGCAAGTACTATCCAGCTCAGATTTAACCATTTCTAGGCAATAGTTCACTGTATAGGGCAAGTCTCTCCTGTCCTTGGAAAATCTTTTGTTTCGGACAATGGAGAACAGGGATGGGGTGAGATTCGAAGTGGGGGTACTCGAGGCTGGCACAACCTACCTTGCATAGGCTGTGCCAGCTCTGCTTGCTGCACCAGCTCAGCGCAGCCTATCTTCACTGGATGGCAAAGGGGCTGCTTTGAAGGCCTGAGGGAATACTTTGTCTTCTAACATGCACTGGTAACTTCAACTCTTCCTTACTTCAATAGGCTCCATGTGGGGCTGCCTTTGAGGTTGGTCCAGAAGCTGGTTAGTCGTTGTCTAGCTATAACCATCAGCAACACATTGCACTTTTGCTGAAGAAGCCTCACTAGCTGCCTATACACTACTGGACCAGGATCAAGGTGTATGCTACTTATTTATGAAGCTCCAAGCAAGTTGGGACAATGGCAACTTGAGAGACCACCCCTCTTCTTATAGCTCCTGCTTGCCTGCTGTGATACATGGTAGACTTCCAGGTGATATCAAGAGCTCTTATTATTCACCTTGGATCTAGTAGCCGTGTGCTCAGTGATGTGGCCCCTTTTATGTGGAATTCATCACCATATGAGATAAGGCATGCTCCAAGAATCTACTCTTTTACATACATGCTTTTTATTTACAGAACCCTTTCCCAATTTTATTTTCATTATGTTTGCTGATCATTTTCTAGTGTTGTACTTAAATGCATCATTTTGGTGTATTCTTTATACTTATTGTTACGTATCCCCCTTTTCTTTTCCCTCAGGTAACTTGTTCCACTTTCTGTCGACTGCAGTTAGTTAAGTTTCCCCTAACCTTCAGCTGAAATTTACACAGCTGCAAATTAAACTCATTACCTCTTATCCTTTCCTCAAGGAAGGAGAGAACAATTGTTCCAACTCCTCTTCATGTGAGGCTCTCCAGTATCTGAAAACTGTAATTGCATCTTTTCATAAGCTGCTTTTGTCTCAGGTGAAGCTAGTACTTACTCCTTACTCTTCAGCCACACTGGATTATCTGTGACCAAAGAGTCCATGAGAAATAAATGGTATGATCATTTTAACAAACCATTAAAAGCCTTGAAGAGCAGCTACGTACATGTTTTTTTTTAGCAAGACGAAGGCTAAATGCATGAGGAAACAACATGAGCATGTTGACCTCTAATCTGACATGGAGGTATTTTGAATTTAATAATGCATTAAGGCAATTCTACATTGGTCGATGAAAGAGAATTTGCTCGTGACCTAAAAATGAGGCTGATGCTTTGGGAGAATCTCTGATTAAGTCGGCATTTCTTATAACTAGCCTCCCACCACGAATTTCCATGTAGAGCTCCTGTTCCTTTTAACTTAGCAGGAGAAGCTTTTCCTATCAGCTCATCTCCATACCAGCTTCCTAAATTTCTGTCTCTTCTGCCACAGCTAAAACAGGCCAGCACTACGGATTTCCCACCAACATGAAATACAGAAATGCTTCACTGTCTGCCAGGATCTTAATGTCTCTATTGCTGTACTTGCAGTCCCAGGAAGACATCAAAAATAAAAGGTGGGCATTTGCAAGATGTAACTCTATTTTGTTTCCTGTTCTTGTATTCTGAATCTTTGTATTCTGGAAATAACTTTAAATTTTTTTAATAAAAAAAGTGGGCTGCATGTGGCAGATAGGCCCATGTTAGGAGTCTTGTCATGAAATAAGCTGACAACCCCAACCTTCCTCAACATTCCTTTCATGATACATAATGATTGGCAGGATTTTTTTTTTATCCCAATCTTATTGGCATTTCTAGTGCTTGAACTCTCATAGGCCCTTTCCCACAAGGCAAAACCAAACACCTGATGCTGTAGTCTTCCATTGATGAGCATTTAGTATTTATTTAAGACCATATATCCCACCCTTCTATGGGACTGGACATACAGGGTGACTTCTAACAATTCTGAAACCACTTAAAAATCAACGAAATCTGGAATAATAAAAGAACACCAAAGCCATGTAAACAGTAAAAGAATAGCCAGGTGCACCAAACCCACCAGCAGCCCAAGGGTTCAGCAACTCAAAGCACAAACCCAGCAGGTCAAGTGCCTGCCAGAAGAGTTTCTGAAAGCCTTAACTAGGTGATATAAAACAAGGAAATGGACCTTGCTTCCTCCTAATGTGCGCAGAAGCCTATGGTCATGTATAATGATAAAGGTAAAGGTACCCCTGACTATTAGGTCCAGTCACGGACGACTCTGGGGTTGCGACGCTCATCTCGCTCTATAGGCTGAGGGAGCCAGCGTTGTCCGCAGACAGCTTCCGGGTCATGTGGCTAGCATGACTAAGCCACTTCTGGCGAACCAGAGCAGCGCACGGAAATACCGTTTATCTTCCTGCCGGAGCGGTACCTATTTATCTACTTGCACTTGGTGTGCTTTCGAACTGCTGGGTGGGCAGGAGCTGGGACCGAACAACAGGAGCTCACCCTTTCGCGGGGATTCAAACCGCCGACCTTCTGATTGGCAAGCCCTAGGCTTTGTGGTTTAGACCACAGCGCCACCTGCGTCCCTGTTCATGTACAATGATAACTGCTACTAATAAGGCTCAGGACTGGTAGCTTCTGTTTAAAAGGGGTCTTCCAAATATATTCGAACCACTTATCTTTGGAATGTAGTGCAGAAGAGCTGATCTAAATTTCGTAAGCATTTCTGTGTTTGAATACTTCAATTAGAAGTCTTTCAATTAGAACAGCTGGAGAGCTGGGGGGAGGATGTGCATTTGTTTCTCTACAATTATCTTAAGAACAAATGCTTAAAACGACTGTACGAGTAGCATCCATTATTAACAGATGACATTAGGATTTTTTCATAATCCAAAGCATCTCAGCCTAAATGCTTCTTTGTAAAATAGAATACAAGGAATAACCCAAAATTTGGAAAGTTCACCTACAAACTAGAAATGGAAACAAGAACGCCACTATGCCATGGGCATCACTGCGAACTAACTTTTTATGTATTCCTTTTTTCTATATGAAATACTAATAGCTAAATACTGTTAGAATTCCTTAAGATAGTAACATTTACAAAAGAAGAAAGCCCCACAATAATTCTCACCACAGTAAGCTGGCAGTATGCTCCCATGAAATCAATGGGATTTAATTCAATTTAAATATGTTTACAATGACAGTGACAATAACGCTATTATGCTAGAATTATGTAGAGAATAAGGAGAGAGAGAAACGAGAGCTGACATGAACTCTGAAGATGACAGCTTTCAGATTCACAATTCAAATCTGATTATTTATCAGAGGAAGCCATGTTTGGATAGAGAAAAGCATCCTTAATTTTCAGGGTTCTTTGTATACAGGCACAGTATCCTTGACTGTGCATTAATAAAACTGTGGCACGAGGTAGGCTTAACAACGTGATCATAAGATCATGGTCACCTTGATCATCCAACAGAAATCCCAGCGCCAAAATGCTCACCACAAGAACACTGACTGACTCCGTTAATTACTCTAATGCAGACACCAACTCCATAGCAATCCTTACGGCACAGGGGCTCTAGTGAAAATGCATTCATTCCTGTCACTTTTTCACATATTAATCACATGAACACTGGAACCTGCCTTATATATGGAGTCAGACCACTGGTCAACCTAGCTCAGTATTGTCTGCTCTGATTGGCCAGAGTCCACCAGGATTTCAGCCTTTCTCCGCCCTACCTAGAGATGGAACCTGAGACCTTCTGCCCTTCTATAGGGACAGCCTGCAAAGAAGGGGCAACAAGGCCACAATACTAGCTCTGGCTCTTTCACAGCACAGCATCCCTACTGTATATTGACACTGCATAGGGCAAGCCTATGCACATAAACTTCCTCACTGCAGATAGTCCTGCTCAATCCACAGGCATTGAGTTCAGGCTACCTGGGCACACACAACAGCAGGGTCAACTTTCTTCATTTGAGTAACACGGGAAGTGGGCTATGGACAGAGAACGGTTTATTAGTTAGAACACCGGACTAGGACTGATTCAAATCCCTTATTTTCACATGGCGCTCACTGGATAACCAATCACTATCTATCCCATCAGATTCTTGTGAGGATAACATGAACAGGGAGGGAGATCCATTTGTGCTATCCTGGAGAAATGTGGCTTTCCCTGGAGAAAAGCCAGGCTGAAAGCAAATACTCAGAAATGGTTGCCATGCATTTTCTTCAACGGACTATAGCTCTCTCCATTTGCCTTTCCTGGGTAGTCAAGTAGAATATCATAGCCATTCAGATGTAAAATAGAAGAACTTGGAGCCCCTGAGATAGAGCTTTGTCGCACAGCCTGCTCAACGCAGATATTCCCAGTGTGTTAAAAGACGATTACAGCTATGTGTAAACTAACTGATCGAAATTGACATTTCTGCATCAAGCCGTGGAAGCTGAGCATTAAATGTCATTTAGGATGCCAGCAACACATGAGTGGGAGGAGGATGGCGAAGAGATCATAACCTGCAGATTTTTGGTACAGACAGAAGAAAAGCTCAGTTTTTTTATCCTCTCAAAACTGAATCCCTTATCCCGAAGTGCAGGAACAGACTTGTCTTCATCTGAAGCACCGCTGCCTTGTTAATTGTTGTAAACTTTTAAGATCAGAACCTTAATGAAAATAAATCCTTTTTACTGTCAACCTTCTCCAAAGATACACACAGCCCGCCAAACAAGACAGAGGCTATTATTATTATTATTATTATTATTATTATTATTATTTTCCAAGTGGAATTCCCATGTGTTAATGGAAAGACACTGTCTTTCATGTAACATTTCATTCAAGACCAGTCCCACATTCAAGTCTATTTCCATCTGCTTTCAATAGCAAATTAACAACATTCAGAAGTGATACATTTGAGAGACTCAGAAGTTGTATTTTCTTCAGTAAAATTTATATATAACTCTGGTAAGAACTGCATATAAAAATATACTAAATAAATAAAACGAAAGTTGAGGTTGTTTGGATTGTCGCCAAATGGTACTTTTCTCATTTTTAGTCTACACATGCATCCTGTGTTTGCAATTAAAAGTCAGCAATAGGCAACAATGTGTTCTGAATGATGAAATAGCTTGGTCTTTCCTCTCCGCATACCAAAAAGAGAAAATCAAATAACTGTGGTTGATGTGTGGTGGTTTTTAAGAGGATGCTAGACTGGCAAATGCTGACTTGTTAATGGATACCAGCACACTTCAGAAGCTTGACAACAGTATGTGGGGGTTTTCCTCTTAACTGCAGTCACTAAGCATATCTATGGCACAGTGGCATTTTAAAATATAATATTACTGTAAACATTTAAAAATGTTTATTGGAATTGTTTGTTGCAAAGGTGGTAGGCAGGTGCTAAAAGTCGGGGGAAATGTGCACTGAAGTAAACTAAATATTCACGAAGAGCACATGCATAATTATAATCTGCTCCTGGCAAACAGAAATTAAGATTTCTGAAGGTCCATGCCCTGGGTGGTTCACACAGCCCTCTATATACATTGTTGTTATATTGTGAACCATTCCTTTGTTTAAAGAGGTCACTTTGGTGCAGCTAACACAGCAATTTGAATTCACCCCCAGAGGCACACTCCATTGGATGCAAACCAATTCAGCAACTCATGTAGTGTGTGTGTGTGTGCGCGCGCTTATGTGTTTCTGCATGCATGCATGCACAACACTGTGGCAGTTTGGGAAGAGAGGCAGAAAACCAACAAGGAACAGACAAAGATCTGAGAGCTTCTAGCTAGAATTGGCTGAAACTGGGGGGTGCAGACTGAGGGGTTGCCCAAGTTGTACCCTGCGGAGATCTTATGCCTTCCAAGAGTGCCAGCTGCCTCCTGCATGTATATTTGTAAAACAAGCAAATATTATAAGGCTGCTATAAGTCTCCACTGCTCACTCATCCAAAGGAAACTAAACCTAGTAGCAGTGCTCCTGGAAATCTTCAGTACACAGAGTGAGGATAATGCAACGCAACAAAATCTAATGAAGACTGATTGTCCGTAGCTTTTTCCTCCTGACAAATAAGCCTTACACAAATAAGACTATAGGTGCTATACACCCATAGCATCTCCAACTTGCCAGCTTCCTACAATTATGGGTGTTAATATCTTGGGTAGGAATGGATATGTGACCCTCCTGATGTTATTGGACCCTAGCTCCTCAGCCCTGGTTAGCATGGTCAATAGTCGGATTGGAATTGTAGACTAACAATAACTGCATGGCCACAAATATCCCATATCTGTACTCGTGGAATGTTGTTGGTCTGAAAAAAGAATAACCCACAACACAGGCCACTAGGTAGATGTACATATCACCATGTATGGTGTTTTTTATAATTCAAGAGGACTGATGCCAGTGCAGTGGATTTTACAATCAAACATTCACACAGAGGAAACAAGGAAGAAGAGGGAAGCGGGCTCTGAAGTAAACAAGTAAGGAATATGTGGTTATTTCAGTTACATACACTTAAGGCTTCATTAAATGACATGGGCACTAGATTTTATGGAAATGGTAGACATTGACAAGGGCATCGTGCGTGGTTCTGGGAGGTAGTTCCAAACTTAATGGGAAGCAAGGGGGGGAAAGCAGAACTTTTTGAGGCAGCTGAAGACTTTCAGACGGTGGAAGGAGGGGAAGCTTGAGAAATGAAAAGACAGCAGAGAAAGGTGGGGTATTTACGGGCCCACTTTATTTCTTGTAATAAGACAGCCAGTGGGACATAGTGGTTAAGAATGTCTGACTAGGCTGGGGAGGCCAAACAGTTTTGAACTCAGTGGGCGACCATGGCCCAGTCACTATCTCTCAGCTTCACCTACCTCACAAGCTTATGATGATGATATGACTAAGGCTGAGGGAGAATCAGTTTGGAATGTATTATTCACCTGACTATTCATCTTGCTCCCCACCTGAGCCAAGCAGAAATAAGTGTCTTGTGAGAATTGTCCAAAAGAATCCATGGTGGGGAGCAGGGAACATATTCTGCCAACCAAGAGCTAAACCATACTTTATTTAGGCTACAACAAATAGCATAATTAACAGCATCTGCTAAGGAATTAACTAGCATCTGTAGAAACAAGAAGCATTCTTGATTTTTTTTTTAAAGTCAGCATCCTGTTCTTCAATCTATTTTGACACAAACTGTATCTCACACTATAAAACAGAAAGGCCGAACTTGCCAAATCTGCAAAGAGAGGCCAGATGCATATATGAATCTATAGTTCTCTATAGATTGCAGTGCAGCTCCCTTTGCAAGCTACTCAAAAGTCCTGTATTATTCAGTGGGGCTGATTCCCAAGAAAGCCACAATTCTATCACTTACTTGGGAGACAGCTCCACTAAGCATGACAGGACTTACCTCTGAGTAAACATGCATTAAGTTCCACTGCATGGCCACTAAGGGATTTCAGTTGCTTATTATATCAATTACCCCTTGAGAGCTGTTTATCTTTCACTTTGTTATTTGTGCCAAGTGTGTTACATGTGATGTTCTGTACTCCGTACTTTAAGTATGGGCATTTTAAAGAAGTTCCCACAAAGTACATGGCAGTGAGAACTCACGGAAGGCATGGCTTTGATCCTAACAGTGTTGCCTGGAATAAGCACTTGTTACCAAGGGGTTTTCTATAAGGCTCATAAGGCAGCAACAGGACTACAGCTCCATTGTCCTCTGAATCCAGTTCCTGGATATTTATTTATTCAATTAAATTATACGTCACTTGACTGTAAAAACAAACAAAACTCGTCAAAGTGGTTTGCAAAGAGATAGGGCAACTAATACTGTTTAGTATAGAAAAGTGAAGTTAGGAGAGAGAAGTTGGATTCAAAGGTTCTAGGAAAAAACATTACAAGAGGAAAAATTGGAGCCATTTAGCTCAGGAACAAGTGGCATGTGGTTGATAATCCAAAAATGAAAGGACTTTGGGACTCACCAGGTATTCTTCTGGGAGCCTGGTCTGAGTGGGAAGGAGCCCTGGGTTCATTTACCTGGGTTCTTGCTTCCTCAAATTGAAAGATGTGGAGAGATCAAGTGCACAAGATCTTGGGTACATAAACTTAGCATTCAACTGGTTAGAACACTACTTTATATCTACTGAGAAGCGGGAAGAGAATATATATATATATATATATATATATATATATATATATATATATACAGACACACACACACACACACACACACAGTGGTACCTCGGGTTACATACGCTTCAAGTTACATACACTTCAGGTTACATACACTTCAGGTTACAGACTCTGCTAACCCAGAAATATTGCTTCAGGTTAAGAACTTTGCTTCAGGATGAGAACAGAAATTGTGCTCCGGCAGCGCAGCAGCAGCAGGAGGCCCCATTAGCTAAAGTGGTGCTTCAGGTTAAGAACAGTTTCAGGTTAAGTACGGACCTCCGGAACAAATTAAGTACTTAACCTGAGGTACCACTGTATATATAAAAAAACACGTCCTCTACAAAGGTATGGATATATGCACGGCATACTATTTTGGGTTATGTATGGTCTTATTTCGCTTAGCCTTTATGTAAACTCAGCCTATGCACAGACGAGAAAGTAAGTTAACTATCTGCAGATATGCTAGAAAAGAAGTAATTACTTATTGGACTCACTTAAACCAGGCACTTTCCCACCTTCCAGAAGTGACCTGCATTATTTCTGTTGTGCAAAGAAGAAACATGAGCAGCATATGATCAACAAAAAATTAACATCTGGATACCATTAAGAAAGTTTAAAATCTTGCTACCAAGCCATTTACTTAGATAGACTGAGAGTACTGTACTATTCTTTAACTACTGTACTATTTTTAACTATTTTTATTTAAATGATATTGAAATTATCGTTCCTGCAACCTGCAACATAGACAGGAAGGGAGATGGTCTGGAAAATGCAAGCATGAAATAAATAAATTCAAAGAGGATTTCCCCCTCCCCTTCTTCCATCTAGATATAAAAAAGGGCTTAACTCATCTGACAAGATGGAGTACAGCTGGCTTCATATCTCTTTGCCTGCTTAGTAACATAACAGGAAGATGGGGGAGGGGGGGACCTAACGCAATGTATTAATTGATAATGAAGAATGGCTCTTATCCTAATGATTTCCAGCCAGGATTTCTGTATTGAAGCCATTTCAGTTAAAAAGAGTGCACACTTGAGTCTGTAGCATGTGGTCTTGCTACAGAACAAGAAAATGTAGCATGTTCCTTAAAAACATGATATTGTAAAGCTATTTCCCCTTCATAAAAGACATGTCCAGTTCTTCCTCATTTGTACCAATGTAACATGAAAAGTGGAACATCACTGGCCCTTTGTGAAT